TTCCTAAGAAAAATTCGTTGTTTCGTTTGTTTTATCATGCAAAAAATGTATTATTATTAGATGGCGTTACAATCCACTTATTGAATCAAAGCCTACTATAGATCACCATTCCTCTCTGTTTTCTGCCGCTACCTTCAGCAAGCAGAGATCTTTCGTCGGTAGTCACCCCGTCCTCCCACCGAAGCTTAGAACGACCAACTCTTGTGTCATATAGACACTCCGAAAGATTTTATGTGGTATTTAATTTGGTACCATCTTGGCAGTATGTCCCGCCCAATGAAGCTTTGATAATTTTATTAAGATGCATACATCAACATCTCCATATACGGCTCTTAATTCGGCATAATTCTTCATTTTCCATGTGCCTTGTTTATAAGCAGCATATTTTTCTTAATACCTTCCTGTCGAATCTGAGAAGGACTTGTTCTTGAGAAATAGTGTACATAAATTGGGTTTATTTCTTGTAGAAACATTTATTTTCTATTTATCGAATTAATTTTTTATAATGGTGAATACATTTTGTATATTATCATGTGGTGACTTATTCGGATATGAATGGGATGGAAGAATAATAAAACAAAATTTCCATTGTGGGATTTGACGCAATTAAAGACCAATCCGTCATAAGGTCATACGAATCCAACATAACAAACGCGTTTGAAAGTCCTACAACCATAATTAACTCAAAGTTTGTAGGCATCAGTAAATAAGACAAGGTTTCGCCAAGAAGGTGAAAGAAAAAAAAACGTAATTGTAGACCAGAGACAGCCCATCTCATATCAACTGTCTGAAAAAAAAAAAACCAAATAAATATAGAATGTAAATTTAAGAATATGCTGTTATTTATTTCGGCTTTTGCTAAAATATATTACGTGAGCTATTAAAGGAATTTTCTTCGTTTTGAGATTAGTTGTCTAACTATAGTAAGGTACATATATAACGCGGTTGAGTTCCCAAAGCAGCTTGTGTGGTGGGCTGCGTCATTGTTTATCTAATTGTACCCCTTCTGGAACACACACAAATAAAGGCAGGAAAAAAATGCTTGAAAAAAGGTACCTGCCAGACTTGTTGGACGACGGAAGATTATAAGCTTACCCAGACCCCTGATGACATCCTGTCTCTCAACATTATTTAACGTTTTGCTATCGTATACATGCATATGTCTATGATCTTTGGACATAACTAGTTAATTCGAAAAATGGTCCTCACGAGTTCTTTCAATCGAGATCACCTTCCAGGCCTCCTAAACTCCGTGAAGAAAATAATAAATGCACAGTTCTCTTCTTGACCTCTAAATGTTAAATACTTTGAATTACAATATGTTTAGAAGGCTTGGAAGGTGATCTCAATTTACTGAACTCTTGAGGACCATTTTTTGACTTCACTAGTTAGGGCCAGGTATTAATATATATTTATATTTACATTTTATATAATCATTCAGTATTAATATCAATTGTTATTTGTATTTCGAATAAATTTCGCCACGCGTTAGCCGCATTAGTCGTCTCATAATTCAAAAGCAATAACGGACATTGAAACGATAGAAATAGGCCTACAATTTATTACACAGGTTTTTTTTTTAGATTATCCGTTTGATCATTTGAGACGATTTATAATAGAACATGTTTATTAGGATGGATACGGACCAAAAAAATATTTTTTTTTTAAATTTTGTAATCGTAATACTGCAGAAAAGATGAGAACCATGGAGATACAAAAAAAGGGAGAAATAAAATAAAGCGATTTTTCTGGACGTGCATATCCTTCAAAGTTTGTTGAAAAGGAACATTTCACATTTTATTGAAATGTGAAATGTCGGGCTTCAGCCTGAAAGCCCTTACCTCGCCTGTGCTCTAATTTATGGAAAAACTTATCAATTAAAAATACTTTCAAGCTCGTTCGCGTCCGTCATAAGAGCGTTGGTTTGCAAAAGACCTCAGTACCATTAAATCATTTAAAATTTTATGAGGTTTATAAAACGGTCTGCCACAGGCGGATTTACGGGAAGAGGGCTTTAGGGCTGAAGTCCCCCCCGCCAAAATGGTAAAATGTGACCATTGTTTTTTGGTAAAAAGTATTAAAAAATTATGTCTTAAAGTATTATTGCTCGTTTAATTACATTTAATTGGACTTCAAGAATCACTTAAATACCATTTCATATTGGTAGTTAGTATCTTTCTGTTTTTCCAAAGTAATTATCGTTATATATATATGGGAAAAAAAGCTTCTAGGCTGAAGCTCCTCCTCCCCCAAAAAAATTAAATACTGGATCCGCTAGTGCGGTCTGCTAAAAGAAGTTTCACTGTATATTATGGATTCTCCTCCCTCTCCAATTTGTAATTCATTGCTTACATTTACTTTAAAGATGATGAAAAAATCAACCAAAGAAAAGACAGTTCACAGTTAAATGATATAATTATTACCATTCAAAAATGAAATTAATTGTTTCACGATAGAGTATCAGCAGAAGCTGAATAATTGTAAGTAAAACAGAAGAGTCTGAGGAGAGGTGATGAATAGGTGGACCGAACACTTCTGGAAGTTGCTGAACATTGGTCTGGAGGTGGAGGATGTTGAAAATGAATAAGAATATCAGGTGTGGCAGCCACAACCACTAGTTGATGAACCTGACAGAGAGGATATTGAGTTTGCCATCATGGACTTGAAGAACTGTAAAGCTCCCCGTAATATATGAGTTGATCTGTGAAGTATGGAGAGAGGAAAAGATGCTGGATGACTGGAGGATTGGATTAATATGTCCTATTCTTAAAAAAGGCAGCAAGGATTAGTGCACAAATCATAGAGGAATAACCCTATTATAAGTCCTGTATAAACTCCTTTCTAGTTTAATATTAAAAAGGCTGCGAACATATACTGAGGAAATTTTAGATGATTCATTTTCAGTGAGGTCTTAGAGCTGGCCGCGGTACTACAGGACAAATTTTTGTTGTAAGACAAATGATGGAAAAATTCTAAGAATATGATATTGATCTGCACTTGTTATTCGTTGACTACAAGCAGGCATTTGATAGCATCAAGAGATTAGCACTGTTAAGAATACTAATGAAAAATTGAGTGCCACATAAACTAATTAATTCAATACGCATGACCATAAAAAATGCATCATCCAAAGTTGTTATTCGAAATAAAGTTGGTCGATTGTTCAAGATATAATCTGGAGTGCATCAAGGAGATGCCTAAAAGGCAACACTCACAACATAGCTCTGCATGCTGCTGTGAAAGATGCAGCCAGAAAAGGCACCATAATTGATAAAACCTGCCAAATTTGTGCTCACACTGATGACCTGGTGATAACTGCAGGAAGTGAGAAGGGACTTATAGGCATTTGAGATAATATACGAAAATGGCAACAAAGTAGGACTTGTGGTCAATGAAAACAAAACTAAATACCTGAAACTGTCCTTGGCAGCAAGTAGAAGATCCTGCAGTGAAATCAGAATAAAGAATTTTAAGTTCGAAAATGTACCCACATTCATGTATCTTGGTTCTGCCCTAAACAATGAAAATGTAATCAGCAGAGAAATAGAGAACTGAATAATGGATGGTAATAGAGCTTACTATGCAAACCTAAAACTTCTCAAGTCTATATTGTTGTCAAAAGCCACAAAATTAAAACTGTGTAACACTGATTAGGCCAGTAGTCACCTATGAAGCGGAAACCTGGTGATTATCGCAAGAGGATTGCCGTAAACTAAAAGTATTCGAAAGGAAAATAATTATAAGGATATACGGTGCTACAGGTGTTAATGATGAGTGGAAAATCAAAAGAAACAAATGGAATCAAGGCTATATTAGAGAATCAAAACATTAATAACTATTCAAGGCAAGTAGGCAGGACATGTGGTCAGAATGGAGAACGAATGGGTGCAGAGGAAACGTAAGCGCACTTCAGTGAGAAGAGGAAAAATGAGAAGCAGACGGAAGCACAAAGTGGAGAGAGTTGCGAAGAGGTTAGGAGTTTGCAATTGGAAGAGAATAGCACAGGACAGAGAGAAGTAGAGAAAAATAACTCAGGCCAAGGGTCATGCTGGTCTGTAGCGCTGAGGAGTTTTTTTAGTTATTATCATGAACTTTTTTAATACAGTTTAATAACTTCAAATGTTTCCAAATAAATTATATTACTAACTCACCAGTATGATTAAGCAGAAAATTTTTTTTTACATAATAAAAAAAAAATCCCATTTCTGGCAGAAAAATTTCTCTATTTTGTTTCTTCAAATAAGACAATATATTCTAAACTTTCAGAAGTAGGAATAATGTGGACAATGTGTTAAGAGTTATGAGTTCATTGGACAGTAAATTAATTTCTTCTGGTTCTATTATATAAACAGTTGAGCTATGACACTCTGATTGTGGCAAACGTAAAAACTATGAATCAATTTTATTTTTTTATCTCCTAAATTCACATTACCAATTATGAATTAAAAAAAATATTTTTTTGATAAATCCTCTCCTCTTCACAGTTATTCACATTCTTTATTCAATTTATTACATTAATTTTTTATAGTTTACAGCTTTACTTCTTTCCGCTCTTAATACATTTAACAAAATTAGTATTATGAAATATCTGTTTTATTATATTTGTCTTACTAAAAAAAAAAGAAAAAAAAAAAAAAAAAAAAGCTGGTTTAAATCTAACTGCCTGTATGTATTTGTTTGGTCCAGTCATCTGAGTTTTGAAAATGATGATCTCATAACATAATAATAAAAAATAAATTTTTTCTGAACACTTTTATAAGCTATCGATGAGCCATCAATCTAAATCTATTTTTTTAATATAACAATTAAATCAATTTTCGTCCACCTCCATCTGTAGGTACAATTTGAGTTTGTAAGAAGTAACAAAAATTGTTAAAAAGAAAAATTCTGCACATAATAATAATAGAGTTTAGAAGATAACAGCCATAAATAATAAAAAGCAACAAGGTCAAATCATAATCATAAGGAAGTGAGAACAGGAAAACAAATAACTCTAATTTAAAAGGATCACTTTTATTAAATAATTCTTTACTTCTCGTTTAATAAAACATTATTGACAATATTAAGTTCTTTGCCAGGAAAATTCAAATTTATATAAGGAGTTGAATAATTTCAAAAGAAATAATTCGAAGTTATATTATAAATATGTACACATTCAAGGGTCAATAAACAAATGATATCAAATTATAACAATAGTATTTAATTTAAATACTGAAGTTACAAACATTAAGTTTAAAAAATTCGTTCTGACTTTTACATTAAATACATCACATTAAAATATATATAGTTTTCTGAACATTGTAAGCCATTTTGAAAATTGCTATAAAAAATGAAAATAATCTAGCAATATAATTACAATACTCAATACAATTAAACAGAGTAAATTAAATTTAGGCGACTTTATACATCAAATATAAAACCATCTAACTTAGGTCTAAATACCTATAATAAAAAGGAAAAGAAAAAGAAAAAAAAATTATGAGTGCAATAAAAAAGAAAAAAAGGTACAATATTTGTATAAAGGCAACTGGTAAAAAAAAAAAAAATATGGGGAAAGTCTAGCTGTCACTATGATCTGAAGTTTGTTCTCTTTGCTTCTTCATCGACTTCAGAGCTTTCTCTCGAAGTTTCTTTTCAGCCTCTTCGGTTTCAGATCCGTCTTCAGAATCCTTAACAAAAGAAAAATTAATTCATTATATATTTCCTTTTATTATAAATCTTATTGAATTATAGCGTTAAGTTAAAGAACAGGGATAAAAATAAACTTTTTGTATAAATGTTTATCAAAATAAATTGAAATTGTAAGGAAAGTATTTATTCACAGTTCAATAATGTCAAGCTTGAGAGGTCTCAGTATGGTTCTAACCACACAGGAGTAGGGATCGGCAAAAGTTACAAAATTAATGCTGATCGTTGAAATTAATGAAGCTTCCCTTATATTATTGAATTCAGTAAATTACGTAAATACTATTGATTTCTGTCTACTCCAGAGTGATTGGATAATTTTCTGTTCGAGGAATAATAACGATAATTTTTCCCTTTCACAATTCTACGGAACTATGGATAACATTACAAAGCAGCCTATAGAGCTCAGATATTTTCAATTATACTTTCTGCAGTTGTATCCATAGCTCTTAATAACGGGTAACTTAACATATCCAGCCAATAATTAAAACTTTTTTCCACACTTCTAAATTTCATAACTTACATAAAATAACATGTTCGTTCTACTTGAACTAAAAAATGTGTATGAAATAAAAATCTATTGGGTACGGTAAGTTAGTGGGTGCTTAAATCTTTAACTGAAAATTTTGTTCAGGTTTGAAGATTAAATTGGGCTACATTAAATTTTGTTTTTCCATCCCTATCTCACAACAATAATATAAAAAATATCACATTAATGAAAAGTATAGAAGTCATTTCTTTTTAATAAGAATTTACAATTATCTAATGCTGGTTAATACATATATCCTCACAGAAAACTAGTTGAAAAATGGTTCAATTCTCTCTGATCATTGATTTTATCTTGGCATCAATAAAGTATAACAATATTTTAAAATGGTTAGTATATTAATACTTACAGAGACATATGACTTTTTTCGCTTTGATTTGCGGTGTTTTTTGTGCTTCTTGTGTTTCTTATGTTTTTTGTCCTTTTTCTTCTTCTTAGTCTCAGCTTCACTTTCCTTTACAAGAGAAAAATAAATGATTTAACTTCTAGATGGGGCAAAGAAATATTTAAAAAAAAAAAAACGGAATTGTAATTGGTATATGTTACACTTAAGTATAAAAATTTAATTCCTAAGAAAACTTTTATCACTGCAAATGGGGTTTAATGTTAAATTGTCTACGAATAATTGTATCAAGTTTAATAAAACTATAAATTGTGGAATCATTTACGCAAGGGGTCACTACGAATGAACACATATCTATAATAATAATGATTTAATGTTCAGATTGAGCCATATCTGTCCTTAACTATCAAAAGATGGGGGTTTAAATAACTTACATCTGATTCCGAGCTTGAAGGCTTAGGCTTCTTCTTTCTTTTCTTCTTCTTAATAACAGCCTCATCAGGGGAGGATGAACCTTCCTTGTCTTTTCTTTTCCTCTTTGGTTTTGTTTCTTCTTCATCTTCATCATCGTCATCAGAAGATGATTCTTCCCTTTTGGGCTTCTTCTTCTTTTTTGGCTTTTTAACTTCCTCCTCATCTGAATCACTAGTATCTACCCTCTTCTTCTTTTCCCTCTTAGATTTTTTGTCCCTTTTATTATCATCAGATTCATCAGAGTCGTCTGCAGTAGATTTTTCAGGAGCAGCCTTTTTAGAGCTCTAAAAAAAAAAAAAAGTTACATTAATATTACTTAAGCATACAAGTATGTTAATAATGAATTACTATATATGAAATTCAATTTGTGTATTTTACGCTCTGGCTATATTTAGTATCTGAGAATATTGCTTAACAGTAATAGCAAGCAGTAACAATCTTATATTTAACATGAAAATATGTCATAATTAAAAACGAAAATAAAAAAAAAAAAAAATGGAAGTTTTTTTTCTGTTATAAAAGCTGGCAAATAAGTTACATGCTTTAAGAGCTACAAGGGGGAAGGCATTCATCCAGGAAACCTCCCTCACCAAAAAAAATTTAAAATAAACTTTTGATTTTTTTACTATAAACTTTTTTACTATGATTGTTTAATTAATCTGTATTCTTATTTATGTATCTCTAAGGCTCCTTAGGCCATATTTATGTCTTTCTGTATTATTCTAAAGGGACTCGTCCCAGAATAAATAAAGAATTATTATTCATTTTTTTTTTGCCAAATTTATGAATGAATTAATTGAATAATAGGATATCAATGTTCATATCATTGTTATAACAGGTTTTTAAACAAATTTGTTAGTTTGACCAAAGCTAAAGGACATCTCAGAGAAGAGTTATACACAAAAAAAAATTTAAAAAAGATTTACTCAGGTTTGGTATAAATTATTTTTAGGTTTAGTATGAATAATCGGAAAAAATACAGATTAGAAGTCATGAACTTAATATGATCATCATTCAATAAACATATTTCTAGAGATGTTAAGAGTAATTGTAAGAATACAGAACAAGTACAAACAAGTTGGTTCGAAGCATAGAAACATTGACAAACTTTTTTTTACATAAATTTGTTCCCTTAATTGAAGTATAGGAACAAACTGAAGCATAATCCCAATTTCATAGCATTTGAAATTCTACAACACTTATCATTCAAACTCATCAGTATAGGAATTTAAAAAAAAAAATAAATAAATAAAAACAATTTTTACCTCAGATTTTTTCTGTGGTGAATCACCTTTTTTCTGGGAAACCTCTTTGTGATCTTTGGACCTAATTTTAAGAAAAACAAAAAATATATTAATATAATCTGAAAAACAACAACCAAATTATCATCATAATTAGGACGTCTCTTTTTTTTTTTTTTTTTGGATCAACGTTAAAAGTTCATTAATGAATGTTATTAATTGAAATATTCTAGATATTTCTGTCATTGTTTGAGTTTACAATGGCATTTAACTAAATAAACAATCATAAGAATGAAAATTAGACAGTATTAAAAAAACAACAACTAAACCTTTAAGAAAAATTATATAAAAGCAATGGTGCTATTTTGACTCACCTCTCTCCACTTTGTGATTCTCTTTTCCTTCGATCCTTGGTTTTTGTTCTTGCAGGAGAAGGTGAGGTAGACCTTTCTGATTTCTTCGCAGGTTCTGGAGAGCTCCTTTCATCCTCAGATGATGATCTACAGTCAACAAAACACATTATTAGCTTAAATTTATAAACAATAATTTAAAATGCCTTCTCCCAAATCACCATAAAATTTACAATTAATATACTTACGGGTCTCTTTTGGATTTAACTTCTTTCCTATTCTGTTTCTCTCCTTTATCGTCAGATTTTCGGAATGGTGATGGTGTTAATGAAAGAGACCTTGAACGATCCTAGAAAAAATATATGTTCTTAAATAACATAATTAAGAAAGTAAGTTCTATTTCTCGTTATTATTTCATTACTTGTTAGTACAGTTGCAATAACATTTACTTAAAACTAATGAAGAATAAAAAAAAAGGTCATACCCTCTTAGCATTATTATCAGGTTGAGTCGGGGCTCTTTCTGGTGAAGCACTGCTAGAGCTTGATTCACGTCTCTTTTCACGGACTCTTTCTCTACTCCTTGATTTCTCTTTTTTGACACGCTCCTTAATGTCTCCTCTTTCTGGTCTCTTGCCACCCTGTTAAAGAGATTTTAAAAATGTTTCTTTATTTAACATATAATTAATACATTGAAAGTTAATAATTAATAGTACTTCATTAAATTTTGACAAGATTGAAGAATTAAACATATAAATGAATTAAAGAAATAAAAAAAAAATGGTTATTACAGCTCTTACGTGAGATCTCGATCTAGATCGAGACCTGGACCTATGCCTGCTAGCGGATCTCCTCCTAGAATCCCTAGAAAAGAAAAACAAACCAATTATTGATCATATAAACTAAACAAATATTAAATATCTATAATTTTAATTAAAAACACTAAAATGTGGGTTGGTTGTATCACATGGAAATTAAGTTATGGGAATGGAATCATAAATCTAAATAATAATGTAATATTAATTAAATTGACTATCCATAAAAGTTTACAACAGAACTTTTAATTTCTAAGGTTAAAGTTCATTTATGTATATTAAATTAAACATAAAAAAATAATTCAAGGGATAAAACTTGACATCATTAGTTAACAACAGTATATTACATATCATACAACCAGATACCAACATCATCCAGACTTACCCCTTATTTTTATTTTCAAACAAATCAAAAAAAAAATCCACACAAACAGTCTCAATGGAACTTTTTTTTTTGTAAAAAAAGAAGTCTTACATTTATTTTATGTACATAGAAAAAAAAGTTACGTTAAATGAGAAATAAGCAGTAATTGGGCTTAGATAACGGATATTATCTTGAATGAATTAACTAATTCTCATATTAAAAATCTACTAAAAAATTACCATTTTTTAAAATTTTTTTTTGGCTAAATGAATCACTTCAACATAACCTTTGAGGATAAGTTTTATTAAAAATCAAATTGAAACTGTTTAAAAATAAAATAAGTTAACTTTTATAGCTATGGTTTGATTCAAATCGATAACTTAAGTTTTAATTTTTGTTCTCAAGTTGAAATAAGATATAATCTTCAAAAGTAAGTTTTTTAAATATTGAATGCTCTCGTTTATCAAATTCAAATTCCACTATCTGAGATATTAAAAAATGATGCAAAGATCAAAACAAATTCTTAATTGGATATTTTGCAATGGTAAAAAAATTAACATCAGAGGCAAACTGAAACATTTAAAAAAACTATTCCTTATTAGATTGATTCAAGTTCAACAAGTACCGGTAACATTGCTAAGTTTAACATAGCTTTCACTTAAGAAATTGTTCACAGAAAGGAAAGAAAAAAAATAAAAGACCTGCGAATTTGTTGAGAGAACCGCCAAGAGGAAGTTTCTGGCCTGTAAGTAAATGTGTTCTGAATGTATTATAAATAATAATAAATATTAGATTTTTTTAATTAATTGTTAGATAACATGTGGTAGTTTTGAACAGAAATAAACTTTTACTAACCATTTAGCCATTTATTAAATTATTTTTTCAATAGATAATTTGTGGTTCACTAACATTTCTCTAAGCCACAGCCAGGAATTATATACAGAATCCAATGAAATATCAATACATCAGAAACAGGACTATCTTACCTTCTTCTAGGCGGGGATCTCCTGACGACAGCTTCTCTCCTTTTCCTAGCTTCCCTAAACCGCTCTCTTTCCCTTTCTCTCTCCCTCCTTTCACGCTCTCTTTCCCTTTCCCTTTCTCGTTCGATGGACCTTCGAGAAGGCCTATTATACCTTCCAGCTCGATCTCTACTTCTAGTTCGCCTTCTTGGAGAGCGCCTTCGAGACCTGGATCTTCTACGAGACCTAAGAAAAGAACATTTTACAAAAATTAAAATAATAATTCAAACTAAAAAAGAAACAGAAAATGTTTATTTCAAATTTTAAATCAATCAGAATTTGTTATAAAAGAAGTTGTTATAAAGGCTTTCTTATGAACCAGTATATAGCCATAGAGATAAGAGTAAAAAACAAATCTATATAGATCACATTTACAGAAGTGTTATGCACATTTGATATAATCAGTCTTACAGCAGAATATTACCAATACTGACTATTATTGAAGTATAGAATAACTTCCCCCTGTTTTCTAAATTCAGACATTCTCTAATCTCTCTAATTGCTGATCAACCGGATTACTGTTTTTACTAAATATAGTTAATGACAAGATATTAACCTTGATCTTCTCCTTGATCGTGACCTCCTCCTAGATCCCGATCTCCTCGATGCAGACCTTCTTCTCGATCCTGATCTTCTCCTAGAGCTTGATCTTCTTCTTCTTTCAACAGACTTATTTCTTGAACCGGAGCGACGTCTATCTACTCCACCATCCTACATATAAAATAGGAAAAATTATAAAAATTGAAGAAAACAATTCTAGACTAAGGAAGAAAAAAACTTCTTAGCATTCATTACCTTCCTAACTCTCTTTTCATCTTCAGAATCACTACCTGATGAATCATCCTTATTACTCCTGTACTGGCGTTTCTTTTGAATACTGTCTTCTTTTTTACGAATTTCAAAATCATTTTTCTTAACTTCTTTTTCGGCTATATGAAAGAAAGAGATAACAATTATAACAATATTCGCAATATTTATAACACATAGAATAAACCAAATGAGAACTTACGAGATCCACGTGAATCAGAACTGCTACTTCTTTGTGTTTTATCATTTGCAGTTTTTGAACGAGATCTAGACCTAGACTGGGATGACTTGGCTGTTTCTTTTCCTTTCTCATCTTGAGAGGATGAAGATGATTCTGATGATGACCTCCTTTTATCTCCATTTTTATTAGGTGATCTTAAAGGAACAATAACATAAATGAAAAAATGCAAGATAAAGTTAAATCATAACAAGAAAACAATAATAAAATCGTCATTGCTAATGTTTGTGGAAAAATGTAATCTATAATGAAGACTGCTCATCCTACAAAAAGAGAAAAAAAAAAGAAATAAATGTTAAGAATAACGATTAAAAAAATGAACAAAAAAAAATCAAACAATAATTTTTTGTCAACTATAAAGGCCAAAAATATAACGAAATATCCAGAATTCGCAAGAGAAAATACTACAATAATTTTATATTCCATATCACATTAAATTCTTAATTCTTCAAGTTATAAATATAAAAGTATATTTTAGTATATTTTCTTGGGTATTAAATATAAAATTAATGGAATTCAAATTACAAAATATAATGGAATAATTGAAACTAAAATATAATATAAGAAATTATTAGTAAAATAATAGAATTGGAAAAATTATTTTAGCCTGAGGTGTTGCCTTGAAGCTATGTTGTATGGAAGCGAGTTAAATCTCACCAGCCCATACCGTGTTGAACAGCTCAAAGCAACTAACAGCTGCATGAAGGATACTGAAGAGTCTGGCAGTTTTCTTTAGGATGAGAGTATGGCTTTCCAGTCTAGGAAGCCAGGGTTCATGCAGATGAAAGACGCCTCACAAAGCGAGATACAGTGCAGAGGGGAAGTGAAGTAATCTGAAGCTGGTTGCAGTCGAAATGATGAAGAGAAGACAGCGACTGTGATCTGTTACAGCTTACCGTAGACATGATGAGTGTTGCTGATGCTGAAGAACAAAACGGGAGCACTGAGAGAAGTACCGCCACCGAAGTGAAACAGCAAAACTGCAATGGGCACAGCCTCCGATTGAGCGATGGATCACACATCCTGCAGCAGTAAAAACTTGACCAAACTGAACATATGCAACTTGACATATTTAAACATTAATATAAAATAAATAAGTTCAAAAAATGAGAAAAATTAATACTTAAAAACGAAACTGTGTATAAGAAATGATACTTACTATAAATGATTAATTTATTAAAAGTCGTTTAATAAAGTAACATTTAATAAATTGCTGTAAATTTAAAAAATGTTATTGCACATAAAAGCAGAAGTGAATCTTTAGATGTCGTTCATCAATATTCCTTCTGAAATCGTAAAAACAAACTCTTCCTGTCCTCTTCTTAAAAAACAGGATGCTTCGTGAATCAAAAATTTCATTCCAACTCTGCTACAAATATTTCTTTAAAATCCAAACATTATTCTAAGAAAAATATTAACCATTTTAAGAGAAAAAAATACATAACAGTTCAACCAAATAAAATAAATACATATTAGGTCTGTGAAAGTAACAACAAAATTAAATATAAACTAGTAAGCACGTTTGAAAATTTTGCACAGCATATTGTTATCAAATGCAAAATTAATAAGAAAAAAAATAATACAACATTTCAAAAGATAAAGAAATCAATTGTTACTTTTCCAATAAATATAATCGACAAAGGAAACAAAATTAATTTAAATCTTCATTTTTGTTTGGAACCAACATATTTACAAATTTCAAGGGAAAAGTGTGTAATTTTTTAGTTATCGCAAATAAAGTTTCTTTTCTTTCATAACTTGTTTGCCTGAATTTTCGGGGTGATTGGATTTTGCCCGCCTGAAGTAGAAGGAAGCCTTCAAAATTGGTGGCTCAATCTTGAGATTTGGTGAAGAATTAACAATGATATGCCTTGCCGATCAAAAACACCATCGATAAATAATATAAACTCCACCTCTCTCGATCATAGAGACCTCAAGTTGACGAAATGAGACATGTATTAAATGACAATACTACAATTAATGTAAGCTTGCGTGGATGAGAACGCTATGCATTGCGTTATCTAGAAAATGGTACGTTTTTGGGCTTAAAAACACAGGATCCGATAGTTCCGGAGGAACTATCCGGGTCTTGCTGTATGCATCAGAATCTTTAAGATCCAATTTGTACCGTATCGATCTACAGACCTACCACCGTTCCAATATCGAAGCCTAGAAAAATGTTTGTATCGACTTTTCTTAGAAAGAAAAACAAAAGTGGAGAATACGATTCTCTAACACCCCGTGAAATTCTGAATCCAACGGCACCCCATTCAGGGTATTTGAGCCTGACAGGAGCTTATATATGGTACAAAACCGATTTCGAGCCCCACTGTAATAATATATGTGTGGATCGATGTTTTGTTATATTGAATCAAGAAAAAAAAATTAAAGATATTGAGTGTTACAAACTGAATATCAATAAAAACCAAACAAATAAAGTTATGTCTAGGATGAATTTTTAAATTTAATTAGTTTGAAAAAAATTAAAGACCAGTGACAATTCAAAAAAACTGAATGCTTTTTTTAAAAATCATTGTTATAACAAGTTATTTTTTTAAAATCTAAAGTATAATTAAATTTGAGACAGGCAAACATTCTTAATAGACTAACAAGAGATAAGATTTTTTTTTCTTTCCTTTTTTTACCAAACTGATTTAATGAAACTTGCGGCTATTTCTCTCTTATAGAAAATCGTTTCATGGTACATAAATTAAAAATATTAAAAAGCTATTATGGCATAGTAAGAAAATGTTAAGTATGAAGCATGGGACAACAGTAACAAATCTTTTTGAGTTTAAGTTTCATTTTAACTAAAAAAAAAACTTCAGATCATTAACCAACCAGCTCATTATAAAATAATAAAATATGGCTAGTTAAATAATTATAAATGCAGAAATGTAAAATAAATTTTCCTAAAACTGACAAATTTATTTATCGTAACTTCTTACATACGTCACTGATAGTGAACTTAAGGTACCTTAAATTACTTTCAGAGAAATTCTATTAATTATTTAATTACAATTATTAAAACATAAAAAAAAACAACAGAAAGTAAAATAAGACATAATGAAAAACGTTTTTCAGAGAAGCAGAAAAAAATAAATTAAAAATATTGATGTTATTTATAATCCTGAAAATCAAATGATTATAATTTATAGAAATAAATTCATAATCATAAAACTAACATAAATAATAAATTATTAAAAACAAATGATCATCTTTGCATAATTATTTCCTGTAAAAACAAAATTAAATTTACATTGACCACAAACATATTCACAATGACAAAATTAGAAAAAAAAATATATCCAACTTTGATCACAATAATTTTAAGACTAACTATAATTAAAACAGTTCATTAATTTAAATTATATTCAAAGTACCATCATTTTCCTTCTTCAAAACTATATAATCAGATTGATGAATTGATATACAGAAAAAATTAAATAAGTGGAAATACTTAAGTCAGTGAAATCTACAAGTTACTATGATATCCATGGATGATAATAAAACATTAGTACTTAAAAAAAATTGAGAAGAAATATAGCATCTTAAGATAGTGTTTTTATCCTAGTCATAATTCTTATAGAAATCTGTACACGGATTTCACTAGCATTTACAAAATCGACAGTGGAGTCATGTAATCATTTGCCAGCCTAAACTTCAAGATTTAAAAATATAGTTTTACACTACTTGGAAATTAACATACATGTATCTGTCGTACCTTGGAACAAAAATAGCCAATGTCTAAAACTTCGAAATTGGAGCGAACTTGTATTGTGTATATACGCAGAAAAATTGAGAACAAATAATAATGGAAAAACATAGAGGATTTCAATATATAGTTGAAAAATTGTAAAAATTTTGTTCAACAATCAATGTCACCAATGGAGTAGCTAGTATCTTCTAGAATTGGAGCTCTTGATGACAAACCATAGAAATAAGAACTATTTTCCAATTGATTAATGATGGAACTGCATCAGGTTCATCTAATCATAAGAGAATAGATAAATTATTATAATACCAAAAATTAAGTTGTGAAGAATTTATAAACAGATGATCATAAGCCTTTCTCCCTACTTAATTACCCTAACTATATATTACATATATACGTAAGTGAAAGTAAAAATAAATCCACGTCCTTAGTCCATAAAAATAAAACATAAATTTATCAAAGTAATGTGATCAAAGTTGAAAAATTATTTTTAAAAAAATATGATTTCGAAGATAATGATAAAGAATTCACCTTTGGTTTGATTTTGATCTCGAACGAGATGATCTTGATGAACCTGATGATGACCGAGATCTCTTATGCCCATCATCTGTTCCAGCCATACTCATCAGTTTAGCTTGCACAGAGGATAATCTGGTAAAATGAAGAATTCGTTTAACAATAGATCAAAATATGACAGATTGTAAAATAAAAAGGATAATTCTATCAATGAGGTTTGTTTCATTCTTAGTTTTCTAAACAAACAAGAACTCTGAATCTTTTCAAGAGACAATCCGAAATCTATAAAACAGTAAGAATAAAAATAAATAAGTAAAATAAAACAACTGATTAGACCACTAATCATCAAACAGTGGATGGCTTCCAAATTTTAGGAATATAATACAAATTAATGTTTATAAACTATTTTTTAAAAACAATTAAATGATAAGAATTAAATTACAGACCAACTAAATCCACGTTAGTGCCAAGATTACATTTTTAAAGGTAATTATCCTTATTAATAATCAGAAATAAAACAAACAAATATCAACTATTTCAAAATTATTAATTTAAAAATTTTTTGCTAACTTTTAGTGATTTACTTATATATTCTTAACATTGTCTCAAAAACCTAAAGGCTTCCTAGAAACAACTATGACTCAGCTTAAATCATTAACTTATTATTATTATGATCAAGATAGATAACATATTATAAATAATAAATTATTAGATTACAAATAAGTAACTAAAACTACAAAGCTGATGCAACATGAAACTAAATACTAATTAAAGTTAAAAATAAATCCAAAAAGAATGAAAAAAAAAATTGTATTCACACAGGATTATTGTAACCAAATGCAATAAGACTAGTGATTAAAAAATTAGTAAAATTAAGACTATGGATGTTCTATTGTATTCGGTGGATCCATAAGTTCATTTGTTTTTTAAGGGTTAAATCAAACAAATTTTTTCAATACAAAGAATAAATTTTACTTAATAATTTATTTGCAGTTTTTATTAGTGACCTCTCGCCATCTTTCTAAAATTTCATTATTCTGTTCTCGTAAAACATATGGGGCTTAGAAGCGAAATACTGATCGAGATATATTTTCACATCTCTCTTATCAGCGAACGATTTCACGTCTCAAAGGAGTTTTGGAGAAACCTTAATAAGTGATAGTCAGATGGTGCAAGGTCCTGAGAATACGGTGGGTGCAATAGAACATTCCAGCCAAATTGCATAACTTTTGCTGAAATTATTGCGGAGTCATAGTGGAATACAACACCTTATCGATTGACTAGTTCTGGGCATTTCTGTCTTAATGGATGGTCCAATTTCGTGAGCTGGGTGCAGTATATCTTTGAATCAATAATTTTTTCTGGTGGAAGCAGCTCGTAGAATAGTATACTATGATAATCCCACTATATGGAGTATAATCTTTTTCGAATGTAGGCCGGCCTTCGAGAGTGGCATTAGGCAGCAGTTGTCCACAATCTCCTGTGTACTACATTCTCATTAATGATCCACTTTTCTGCATCTGTCAATATTCGTTTGAGAAATGGGTTCCTTTTGTGGCGGGTCATAAGAGAATTTTAGATTGATGTTCGGCTAAGCTGTTTTAAATACCTTTGATTGGTTCCAAAACCTATTTTCAGTGTTTCCGCAATTTCTCGTACCTGTAGCGAACGTTCTTGTTCAATTAGAACCTTGATATTACTCGAAAACATCCACAGTGGCTAGACTGCAACGGGGTGCATCTTTGAGTCTCATATCTCCAGAACGAAACTTGGCAAACCCTGTTTCAGCAGTACGTTCTGTTAAAGCATTGTGTACATATACCTTACATTTCTTTTGATGGGCCTTCGAAGTTCGCTAGTCTTTTTTTAAATAAAAAACTGAAATATGTTGAAAATATACTTCATCATTTGACAAATTCATTATACTGCAGCAGAAACAAAACTAACGCCAATGAAACCAAACTCAACAGTTTGGAAGAGTGGACGACTTTGACCTTTCCGATAAGTACCCTTATTGTCAAGTAAGGCAAAGAGAACTGGAGATATTTGAAAAACAATGGCACTACTAACAAAAACTCAACAGACTTATGGATCTACCAAATATATATTCAGTATTATTTTATCCTAGCTTTGTTAATTGAAGAAAATTATCATAAGACAATAGTACAAAATCTTCAAGTTATATTAAAAAAGAACTATCACATATACAAGAATAATAAATAAAACATTAATCTATTTTCATCTCCTGTCAAGATTTATTAATTTATTTTTTTTTTAAAAATTAAGATAAATTTTTTAAACTAATAAAGATGTAAAAAATTAGTTTACCAACCAAATAAAAATTTTTTGCCATAAAAAAAAAAACTTTAGCAACAGAACTTGTTTTAAATTCACTTCTCATAAAAAGAAAAGAAAAATATGATTTAAGTAAAAAAAATTTGACAGCAGAAAAAATTGTATTCATCTTAAGGGTATGGTCATAATAATCTACTTGAACATGTTAGTTGATTTTTAGGGAAATTTACATCAACAAGTATTTAAATTTGGTTGAGTAATTAGCTGCCTACCATTCTCGAATAAAACTCAAAACTTTCTGATGTTGACATACATCTATAATCAGTATGGAATTTACTTGTTAAAAGTCATAATTGGTTTTAAATTACTTAAATTAATGTTCGTTTTAACATTTTTAGTTTTCCAATTTGGAACAATTTAAACACAGTACAAATGATCACGAACTTACAAAAAATTTAGAATATTTAAACATAAAATATTACTTCAGCTCAAATTATTTTAGAAATGTCACGGGATCTCACTGAATAATTTGAACCACACCACTTAACTTAAAAATTGGTTCACCAGCTGTTCATACAAAAAATCATTACATAAGTGGACACCCAAATACATTAACCTCCTTGTGGTTTCATCATAGTTAGGTAAAAAAAACCTGATACTCGAAAAATGTTTATACATCTGAAAAAGGAAGTATATAGACTGAACAAGTTTTTTAATACAACTTTATACCACCCGAGGAGCCAGAATAGTTGATTGTAGATATCACTTTTTTAGAAAATTTTCAGAGAGAGAAATACTTTATTGAAAGTAGTGCTGCCCTACTATATTGGGATATAATAACTTCAGAAGATCATATTGGAAGAACCATCTAAAGCTATACGTTTAGATTGGTTCTTATTTTTGTTTCAACAAAAGTGTTCATCAAAGAAGAATGATAAAAGAAGTTGAGACTGCCGATTCAACAGGAATCATTAAGTTCCTAAAACCAGTGATTCATACAAAATAAAGGTGCAATGGAAAATGTAGAGAAGAATTTTTAATCATCCCAGAGTATTTGAACAGTAGTACTAAAATGTGGCTATCACAATCAAAAGCACAGGTGAAAAAGCGTACACCTTAATTAATGTTCTCAGATCAGAAACTTCCAGAATGGACAAAAAAATTAAATGAATAGAACACAATATTCAACAGGTTTAACCCACCAACATCTTAGAGCACAAAAAGTTGTTGATATACTAGTATAAAAATTCCCAAGCATATAACCTTGTAGAAGACATTTTCAACACAATTCAGATATGAACGAGAATATAAATAATGAACAGGGGAGTGAAACTATTTAAAAAAAAAACAATAACAAACAAATAGGATAAAAATATGTTAACAAGGATGTGATTCACTTTAGACGTATCCTAAAAGTGATGCAGTGTAACTCTATCTAGCCTTATAACTAAAATAAGATTGCTCACCAACCAAAAGTACTTGTATATTTAGAAAATTTAATATTCATTATAAAAGCTTTATTAAATCTTTAAAAACACTAATAAGTTGAGTTATAACAAAAAATTTTAGGAAGCTACAAAATTAAAATTATCAAAAAATAAAAAGGTAATAAAATTAAATGGGACCTTGAATTAAAAATTTAGATTAGATCAATAATTTATTCCCTAAACTTGTATCATTAAAAAATGTTCTACCCATTAAATATAAACAAAAAATGAAATCATGCACTTACAAAGATTTCGGTATGAATACATGGAAAAATCACTATATATTAAAAATAATTATCAATAAAATAAAAAGTCATGCAGTGAAAAGTTATTCAGTATATTTATATTTAGGGCATTGCAATATAGGTCAAAATAAAAATTTAGGTCAACTAATAATTTTCTGTTCCATCAGCCCCAACCACAAACAAAGCAGAGGACAAATAATTAATTCTTACGCTTTCCCACTGTTTTCTGGCGATTCATTTTTTTCTAATCCATTATCTGCATTGTTATCCACATCCTTTTTTGATCCATGTTCCTTTTTTTCAGACCTAACAGAATTTACAAAAAGAGTAAACATTTTTTGTTTCTTTTGTTTTTTCAATTATTACAGATGATTTCTTCAGAAAGTTTAAATGAACCGTAATAGACAAAAAAATAATTTTATATATATTAACAGCCCACAGTAAAATCTAACCAAAATGAATGAGATATAATTCCTTTCAGATTAAAAGCTATAAGAAGGAAATTTTATACAAGTAGAGAAAAAAAAAATCCAAAATGCCTCATAAGATCAATCAACAGAAATAGAGTAAATAAAAAATAAAGATAATTAAATTCTTACTGTCATTCAGCTAATAATTTACTTTATTTTAAATTTTGTGAGATATAATTTAAAAACTGTTTAATAAATCTACATCAACAGAAAAAATACAGGATTAACTCGAAGCAAAAATATCAAAATAGGTGCATAGTTTCATTTTATAAGAGAAGATTTTAGAGGATACAATATTATTAATCTGATACATAATTACATTATCTTAATAGGAAATATTTTCAATTCTAACAGAAGGCGAAAATTTCATTTCAATTAAGAAAATTTTAGATATAAAATATTAGCAATGCTATGAAAATCTATTTTTAATTGAATATATTTTATATTTAAACCTTGCATAATTACTTAATTTTATTGTACTATCTTAAGATTAGTTTAAAATTACATTCAACAGATTAAGGTGTATGAAATTAATTTAAGATAAGACTCAGAAATATTTAATACTGTAAAATGGAATAACAAAACAGGTGTAACATTAATCTAAAACTACAATTATTTCTTAGTTTCCACATTTTATGGTAGCCAAAATATACAATCTACTTTTATTATTACTATGCAAGAAATAAAAAAGCACCCACTTTTTATGTGACTGAATGGGCCCCGAGAGGATTTTTTGACTGAAGGCTGATTCCTAACTGATATAATAGTACAAATACTTAATTGTCAGAGCCGGACTCAAATCCAGGCCTGAGTGATAGCAGCACAGTGCCTAACTCGCTACCCTGTTCTCATAAGGAACAAAAAGTATACCTAATAGTTCTGATGCCATATATTAACTTGAAAACAATAAATTATCAACAATTCTTAAGTAGGTTTTAACCTTTTGTTCTGATAATTTGCCATTTTTAGATTGTTTCTATGATTTACAAATAAACTTTTTCATAATACTTTAGTAATTGAAGATTTCATGGCTGGAAGATCCACCATTTGATAAAATTCATGCTTTAGTTAATTTATGCATAACATATAAATAAAAAGGTAGTATTTTTTTTTTTTTTTTTATCGATTTTGAGTTTGTGCTTCTTCTTAGAAGATAAGTGTAATATGTCTTATGTATCGGATGTGCATATGTATGTATTCTTGGAATAGAACTTGCCTAAAGTATTGGATAATAAAAAGCTGCTTTCCTAGAATCAGCTGCTTTGTTAATAAGACATTTATAGTTGTTGTTTTGGCTTGAATCCTAACTCACCGTCCAACCCTTCAGTATCACTTCTGGTTTTGAATTGATTTGTAGAAATTTCATTCTTATTAAAAAAAAAAATTATATTGCTGAAAATAAAATCTAGTCTTCCGTCAAAAATTAAAATCTGGATATAAAAATACCCTGATTTGAAATTGAGGACAAAGAATTTGATGAGAAAGTTATATACACCTTATAAATTAATCAGGTGATAGGAAATCAACTGAATATATCTACTACTACTTACAACTAATAGACACTCATTGGGAAACAAGTAAGAAAAAAATATTCTTATCAAAGAATTCAATGTTTTTTAGAAAGAACGTAATCCCCAAAAATATTGTTTTTAGTGGTATAGAAAAACAGCATTAACACAAATTGTTGAACATTTGAAAATCTCAAACATTAGCCTATTTCAATTTTTTTTTTTTTAAATTCTTTAAATTTTAACAAAAGTTTGGGAATGCGTAATACTGGAAACTTCAACTCTATTAAAAAATAAAGTTTTCATTATGATTTTTAATAAAAATCATGTATCTAAAATTGATCTGATCTATGTAATATATACACAGGCACCTATAATTTCTGCATTCATTTATTCTTTCAAACCTTCAATGCTCTGCATTATTTGATAATAATCGTTATTATAATAGCTGATTATAATCTGGAATTTCATTTTCGATGTTACATTTCAATTTTTTTTTTTTTTGATCTCTCTGTTAACTCATGGTCTGATATTTCAATTTTTTTTTTTAATCTCTCAGTAAACACAAGATCTGATAAGATTTTGATATATTAACTTTATAAATTAAACAATATTAATGATTTCACACGTTTTTAGCTCTTAATTACCCAATTTTATGTATTTTGGATTTATACTGCACGATTTTGAGTTTTTTACTGCACATTTTCCAGATTTTTACTTCACGAAAATCTGGTCTCTAGTCATGAGGAAGTAAGATAGAAATATGTAATAATTTAACAATCAGCAAAAGTTTTTTGAACTTTGAAAACATTAATCAATGCTATTAAATGGCCTATAAGTTCTAAAATAAATAAGAATAGAAATTTATAATGTAATAATAACACGAAGTTTGCCTACCTCGAAGGTGATCTAGAGGAGGATTTTTTACTCTTGGAAGACCTTTCTTTGTCTCTGTCTCTTCTGTCCCTATCTCTATCTTTATCACGTCTGTCACGAGAACGGCTTCTTTTTCTAAAATGACAATAAAATTATACTAAAATACCTGTAAGCGTTAGCAATTTCAATATAAAATATTTTTATAGCATTTTAAACCAATCCATCAAGTTTTGACATTCTGAATTTTTTTTTTTTTTTAAATTAGTGAAGACAAAAATGTTTAATGTAAAATGTTAAGGTAATTTACTTATTTTGATAAAAATTAGTAACCTATTTAAATTATTAAAAAAATAAATATAATACCTATCACGACTTCTGTCTCTTCGTCGATCTTTATCATCTCGGTCTTTCTTCTCTAATTTTTTGGAGATCTCATGCATTCTTTCTTGCTCCTCCTAAAAATGGTTATAACATTAAGAATCCTTAAACATAAGCAACATAATATATACAGTACTTATTTGGCTAAGTAAATGAAAATCATAGTAAGGGCTTCTAAAACAAACATTAAGTATTTAATGTAATGTTAAAACATACTCAAAGACATGGCTAATCAATATTAATATACCTTTAAATAGAACTTGAATATATTTCAAATAATATTACCTCTATTACTTTTCATGATTTAATATTTAGTATTAAAAATAAGCAATAATTATATAAAATGTAATCTATTCTGCTGAGAATAATCGGAGAATATAGAAAAAGTTAATTAAGAAATACCAATTTAAACTCCATACCACACACTTCCAGGACAAAATTTAGAAGTAATATATTAGAGTCGACATAAATAGAAGAAATCACCAAAAAATGAACAGGTGAATGGCATGGCTCCATACAGAGAAAAATAAAAATTACAGAGAATGTTCCTCACCATATTCACTGATATTTTCAATCAGTTAGAACAAAAGAAATTCAAGAAGAAATATAAGAATACGGATGAAGTTAAAAAAATAAAGGAAATGAAGGCTTACACATACTTATCAATACTTACATCTTACCCTTCAACCATAACTAGCTCAAGAAGATTTAGAATAAAGGCCTTAACTACTTTGAAGTTTGAGAGGGAAATTGAGACCACAACCAGTTGGTTGAAATTCAAAAGGAACAAACAAATTCACAAATTCACAGTACACATAGTAAAGGAAAATCGCATGCCTAAACGAAAGCTGTGGATGGGAATCAGCAAAATCTATACTGGACCATCTACGTTTCAACCCTCACAAACACTGAAAATTACATAAAATCTAAGTAACAGCAGTAGGTGTCATGCCAGTAATATGTTGACGACAAAACATAACAGTTTAAATTAACTTTTTGAATAGTCTAAAATTTTATAACCTCAAAAACAATATTAAGAACATAACCTCCCTTTCAAATGATTAATGTCTTCCACATTTCACGTCCATTATATTTGTAAGTTATTTATATTAATTTTAATTATTGGATAGAATTACATGAAATAGATAATAGGGAATTTCTAAATTATTCTCTAAATTTCCTTCAACTTAGCATAAAATCGAAAGAGCTGTATTCAAACTGTAGACGTGTTAAAAACAATACATTTCCTGATCTAAAAGCAGCATTATTTAGAAGGTAGAGGATAAAATTTAATACATACTTGATTATCTGTTTACCAATCCCTAACTTTCCTCCAAATTCAAGCAAAATCTAACGTGTGATTTTAGAGATTTAGACGTATCAACAAAAACACGTTTGGGCATAAGAGAAAGCAGTTGATGGAATGCGATAAAATTAATTTAGCATTATTTTTTTTTACTAATATCTATTTTTCTTCTAGTTTTGAGTGAACTTTAAGGAGCCATTTCTGAAATATTGGCATAGATAAGAAAATACATTTGCGCATGTGTAAGGAGAAGTGTTAGATGGAATTTAGACACCAACCCGCACAATCCTTCAAAATTTCATGATATTGGATAAACAGTAGTAGGTGATAAACATATTACATTGATTTGACTACAAACAGACAACAAACCAAATTTGATCCTTGATGTCTGAAACATAAAACACGAATGGAAATTTTCGGTTCTGAGCACAAATTTTTTTTAACATCCCACACGAATACAAAGCTTCCCTACCTTCAGTAGAGACAAAGCAAAAGACCAATTCACTCAATTATACTTTTTTAATAATACTTAAAAAATAAATGTAATTACCATTCTTTTTTTTATTTCTTCCTTTTTCATCTCCATTAAAATTTCTGGGATTCCAGTAGGCGATTCTTGAGCAGACAAAAGAAGATCCCATAAATCAGTCATAAAAACACGAGCGTTTTTACCATTTAAAAACCCAGTCAAGTTAATCTGCATTTTCTTTGGATCAGGAAACTAAAAAAGAAAATATTGGTTAAATACTCATGAACAATTTAAATAGTTCACATACAAAGTTGATTCAATACTTATTAGATACCTTTTCATCTTCTAGTTGATTAAAAACAAATTCAACTACAACATCATCTTCCATACCAAGCACTTCAGTTATTTTTTTCGCAATCCAGGGTTTGACTGTGTCCAACTTGACTTTAGACATATCAACCTGAAAAAAAAATTATTTTTCAATACTTGAATTGATTTTGTAGTTACTTTTTCATAATTACAAGAATAGTAAAATAAGGTGTAAATCAAAATATTCAGAAAAATAAATCTTGAAGCATAGAAATAAACATGTTAAAATTTTGTTTTTAAATAGATAGATAAAAGAAAACTACCCACTTCTAGAAGGCTAGTATTTAAACTAATACATTAACGAAATTTCGAAACTAAGAAAACAATCAATGATAAATATTTCTCCTGATATCCACCGTTAATAACTAAAGAGTAACTATTAAATTCTAATAAACTAATGTCTGAAATAAATAATAATCCTGATCGACTTTAAATTTTTACAAGTATGCTTACAGCCATGAAATAATGGTTTTAAATACTCTGTAAAATTTGTAGTAATATTTTAGCCCAGCCATCATATTACTATTTCACTAGTATCAAACTTTTATTGGCTACCTCATATGATACAAACAATGTAAGGGACTAGCTACAAAGTGTTACTCAAGATCATATTACATATGGAACATTAAGAATTACTTTTACATGCAATAACGGGCATGCCCTCACTAATGCAGGATGTTTAAGTAAACAGGAGGTAAACAGAAATTATAAGTAGTTATATAATGAATAAAAAAAAATACAATCTCTTTCATTAATAATAAAAATACTTTACATAAATCAACAATATATAACTAGCTGACTCCCAGCACAAATATTATCAGGTTTATTTAAATTAAGTATATTTGTTTAACCAAAGATTTAGTACATCTGAGAGATGCTAACTCCCATTTAGCTAAGGCCTCATCCTCAAAACTTATTACTACTGCTATTTAATGTGAATTGGGTCTCCATTAGACTTACATCGATTGTTTACCTCATTAAGAACAATATTAATAATATCAATAATAGCATAATAATATTGTAAATAATACATAATAACATAGTAAAATTATTTAAAAAATGTTAACAATTTTACTATGGTTTATTTGTTTCCCCTTTTTCAGCTATAAGGGATTTTAACTCAGGCCAGCTGAGAGAGTGGGGGGATTAATGACAGAGTTAAAAGAACTTGAAAGATTGGAACTTGTAATCTTTGTTTTATCAGGTTTCTGAGCAACACATATTTTGGACACACATTGCCCTGCTTAGCCACCCTACCCCCACCACATACAATTCCTTCTTTAGGCATACCAATAAGTAATGACACAACCCCCATGAATAGGGCTGTTTATTAACCTATAAGAAAATAAATATAATAACCACCCTCCTCTTCTCTTGCCGTTGCATGCAAAGAGTATTAAACAACATTGCTAAAGTGTCTTCATATTCTAAGGGCCTTCTCACAATCTCAACTTTAATCTTTCATGGCATTAGTATCCACCTCTTTCTGACTCCAAGGTTTGAACTGTTATCTTGCAATTATGAATAGATCTTGGAAAGCTTTATCATTTACAAACTAAGGAAATTTCTCAGTATGAATGAATACACTCCCATCACCATCTTAACGCCTCATGTGTAGTGCAGGACATGAGCATATGCTCAACAATTTTCAGAACTCCAAAAGTGAGACATTGGGGCTCAACATTTTTGCCAACGCTATAGAGTTTGACTCGAAAAACCTTGTGTCCAGTGAGTAATTGTAAAATCTAATTGAGTTCTCCCCCTTTCAGTGTTATCACTCATCACTTGAAATATAACTTAATATTATCTCCCTGGATCATATTTTTTCATATGATTGCTTCTACCATAATCCAAAGGCGGAGATTTGAATCCAGAAGTTCTACTAAGCCTTTATTCTTTTTATTTGATTGATCACGCTTCATAAGAGTAGGTCAAAGGGTGCTGCCGCAGTTAGAATCTGTACTACTTCATTTGAGGTGACATATATGCTCTGAAAACAAACAGTAGGAACATTGTCTGGGTCGACACCAACCTTCCCGTATGTAACAAGGAAGAGTTTAGGTTCCAGGAAGGAGATGCACACCTTAGGATATTCAATACAACTCTTTCATTAACTTTCATAGTCACTACGTATCTGAGGTTTGTGATAAGACTGATTCTTTTCATGACTTAGTTCAGCTTAATAAGGAAATAATCTATATGTTATATCAAATGCCTCTATAAAACCGGTTTACTACTTCACCCGGTACTAGTTCACAAGAGTTCTGCACGGATTACGCGTGGTTCACAATCACTTCGATCACACTTGTTCATGGAATCCCGAAAACAGCCGAATGTTGTCGTCTTTTATGACGTCAGCTATTGCCCCATAATACAATCCCTTTTCATGCATTTTTGAAAAAAATACAATGTATTCCCTTTATGGAACTTCCTTATTAAAAAATTGTGTATTTACTAATTAGTTAATCATTAATTTTTATTATAACGGTTATTACTTTGAAAGAAAAAGAAAAAAATACATAAAATAATGTTTGAGTAGTTTCTTCAAGGCCTATTAAAAAAAAAAAAAAAAAAAGCTTTTAGTAATAACATTTTTATCGACACGTGCTTACATGTAGTGGCTGTAAATACGCATATACTATATATCATCTTTTATAACTGTGCATAAAAGATTTTTTATCATTTGGATAATAAATAATTTTAAGTTCTCTATTATCTTTTTTTTTGTTATTCGAGTTTTTCAATAGAAGTTGGAATAATTGAATTTATAATTTATTTTAGCAAGCCTTTTTTAGAATTGCGCAATCGTCTATCTAGCTTATGTATTTTTTTAGATTTCTAATAATATGAGGGGCTATTTTCTAGTGGAGGGGGGCGCTTTGTATGCATATACTGTCTGATTTGTAATTATGATGTGTAATTATTGTTATTCGCAGTTATTTTTCTTGGTAATCTGAAAAAAGGGATTATTGTAGGCTATGGTACAAAAATAAAGTATTTATTTTCGATAAAGGAATTAACGTATTTGGGAAACAACTGACGAAGAATATGTAATAATTCCAAGATAATGAATATTGGGAATCATCTATAAGAAAAATAATATCGTGAAATAGCAGCCAGAGATGCAATAATTAAAGATTTTTATGTATTACTATTTCTTTTTAACAGATCTATAATATATGTACAAGCTCAAATCAGGTTTCATGATGTGTAGCCTAAATTTCGAATATAAATCTGCTCCTGCTATATAACTGAACGTGATTAAGGTTAAAGTACTTAAATGGCGGGAAAGTTAATAGTAACTGGCCCAAGAGATCGGTCGCCTACGTTCTCTTTCGGAGAAACACGACCGCATTCGGGATTCCAGGAACAAGTGTGATCGAAGTGATTGTGAACCATGCGTAATCCGTGCGGAGCTGTTGTGAACTAGTACCCTTCACCCCATATTTAATATAATCTAAACATAGGAGTTGTCTATTCACATAGTTATTAATACTAATTTAAAGGAAGGTTTGGAGATCAGTCATTTCCATAAGGTTGCGGCCACATTAGGCTAGCAACCTTACAGTGTGATTGATGTGATCTTGTCCTATCTCTGAACAAATCTAGACTATAGTTTTACAGGATAATAAAAACATTATCATATTATTATAATAATTGATGGTAACACTACAGTATCATCATGTCTATATGACAGATGCAATGGGATCTCACGAAATTCATGTACATTAAATGCCGAATATAGCCAAGAGTGTCTGTTTTGAGGTTGAGGAAAGGTTTGAGATTGTATTTCCAACAAACCAGACTAAAAAGTTTGGAGGTATAAATGTAATAACCTAATTAAAGTACAACTATAGGTAAATATTTAAGAATAAATGTATTTTTTTCCCTTAAAACTGTATCTTTATTTATTTATTGAATCTATCATGTTGTCTAAATTGGTCTTGACTGTTTAAGCTTTTCACTAATTTTCTAAATTTAACCAAATTATTTTAATTAAGTCTTTAGCTTCACAACTATAATTGATATTGTGCTTATTAACATATGAAGAACATTGAGGGTGTTATAACAGATAATCAGAAAAAAAAATATTGTTATGTTCAGAAAGTAATATAACCTTAACACAATGCATTAGTCTGCTTACACTGTTTATATGTACATATATTAAATTTGAATACATAATAGTGGACCGCAGCATTATTAAGGAAGGAGATGGTCCAGGGTGGTGGTCATAAATAGACCAAATTGTGGCAAAACTATTTTATTAAAAGTCAACATTTTGACCCGACTTTGCAGGTGTTCAGGGAGGTGTGTTCAGCAAGGAGTTTCACTTAGAACTGAATTTTGGAACTAAGAACGATTTTAATGATCGATGCCACTATTTAGTCTATTTATGACTGCCATCCCGGACCATCTCCTTCCTTAATATATGAAATTTAAATGAGTTTTTAGACAGGTCATACTCAATGGACAAAGTCAGATTTGGAATTACAAGCACAGTTTGATCAATGCGTTCTAGGAACACATCACATGACATTACTAGTGTTACCGGGCTAAACATTACCTTGGTAACATGCTGTCCTGTTAACCATGTTATTTTATTTGTGAATAGAAGACCACATTAAATTATTTCAAAAGGCTGCATATGGACTGGGAGCATGCCAGTTTGACAACCCCAATATCGTTAAATTCATAAAAGCAAGAACCATTAGTTCTTCACCTTGAATTAACTTATTAAAAAGTTATATCATCTACCACTCAGTTAATCACAAATGCCAAAGTAATACAAATCAACAGAATGTACAAGAGAAAACAATCATTGTGTAAGATTATAATAAAGGGAACATACAACTTATTCTAGCATCTAAAATCATATCAACAAGACACGACTGAAGAAGGTAAAAATAAAAAAAAGCTATGGCACTCTAAGGCAAATTAATAACTTTCAGGAAGTGGTTACAATGTGATATATATTCCAAAATCTTTAGCAATAACAATTTGTGAAATCATGAAAACAACAAATTGACCACTAGATGCTATACATGTAAATGATTTAATTATCTTATGTACTTAAAAAGAAAGTTACATACCCTTTTAGTAAGGCAGTCCCCAAATTTCATGACTTTCATCAGCTTCTTCTCCTTGTCACTGAATCGGTTATCCTGCTCGGCTGTAGTTCCCTATTTAGAAATACCAAAAATAGGAGAAGAATAAATGGCAAATATTTAAATTATATTAACTTAGGGCGATAAAGAAATTTTAAAATACAATAAGTATTACCAGAACTTGGGAACAAAGGAAATGTAAATTCAATTTAAATATTATCAAGGTATTATTTGTTTAAGAAATGTCAAAATAAATGAAAGTGGACAAAGGCCTAAGTTAGGTGCTAAGAATAAATAAACTTACGGTATACATCATTTTTTGTATGAACCCAACAACTTCAGAAATAAAGATCACGAGACATTAAGGATAATGTTCTTAACATAAAATAAACTACAGAGGGATAAACTCTCCGTTTATCAAACTCTAAAATATAATTTAAAATATTCTTCTAGAACAACATATGCGAGTACTAAACATCAATAACTTCACCGGACCACTGACTCAATATAAATAAGCGGACAAAATGGCGAAACTAAACACAGACCGGGAACTGAGCACGTGATTTCAGCGTCTTAATATTGATTTTTAACATATTGCGTATAACTTGAATTGGATATTGTTTCCTAAGGATTATATATATTATATTAACCTTAATTTTTACTAGCACTAATAGTTAGTATAAATAAAGAGGTTTTTGACAAAGTAATTTTCATACTAATTATATGTTAATGGCAGTGAACAATTGAGTTTCACAAAGAACTGCAGGTTTAAATCAAATTAACATTAAAAATTATTATTGAATAGTAAGTTCAAATATCATTAGTTTTAGACTATAACAACGATTACTTGCAAATATTAATAACATTGTTGTAGTACATTAATTGAAAACTAAGAAAGGTGGTCTAATTAGGAAAATACGAATTTTGTACATCTGTAATTAAACTTTCATTATTTTTAGAAAAACATTATGGCGGTGGTTTAATATTAAAGATTAAAAAGTATTATGAAATAGTTATAATTATAATTTGGAATGATTATAATTAATACAAATACAATGTTATAGTTTCTTCCTATTGCTACTATTCTACAGAAAATTCTTAGAAATATAAATGCGGTTGTGGACATGCATTACTTAACTTTTTAAATTTAATACTACCACTCTTTCTTTTTTAATTGTTTATTTAATTTTTTTCATATCTTTAAATTCATTTAATGTTCATTTCATTAATCACATATCCTATTTTTAAAATCAGTTATGTTATTTTTTTTTTTAGTGCAATTTTAACTCATTCAATACCAATGTTGCAGCAACATTTACCAGAAAACATAAGTCTGTTTTAATTGATGCATCATGTGGCGTATAATGGGCTAATGAATTCCTTTCTTAGCCTTCAAAATTATTTATAAATATGAAATGTTTAACATATTTAATGTATGCCATGTTTGTCATATTTAAGTACTGCATCATTTTTGCCAGTAATCAATGAATGCTAAAAGTAAATCAAGGGCATTTACATATTGTATTTATCAAAAATTATTGTAATCAATTTCTAAAATTTATGATTTATTTAGAATGAACTTTTATAAGCTCTAATTAAAATGGTACATGCATCATTTTAGTTTATTAGTATTTTCCCTTTTGTAGGATACTTAATAGAACATATATGTATATTTAATTTTGATAGTAATATATAGTGGCAAAAGGAATGATTTTAATATAGGAGTATATATATCGCTACTGTTAATGGAGTTGTATGTCGTAATATAAGATCATATCTAATAATTTTTCATTCTTATTCTATTTGTGCTAAAGGTGACATTTCATATTCTACAACTGCTATAATTAGTCTGATAGGGTGGAAAACAGCAGAGGGAAATAAAATATGAAATTATACTAATAAATCATAAAGAAGTAATCAGTTTTTATTTAAATAACACTTGTAAAAAAAGTCATTTTTCATATAAGATCTTTTGTACTGACATGTAGGGATATGATGTTAAAGAAGGAAAATGAGACTATAGGTACACTAAAAATCAAATTGTTGTAGTAATTATTTACCAAGTACTGTTATATTTTCCAAATATGATTTCTTGCATCTGTTTGGTATTTTTTATAATGTATCTTAAGTATTTTTCTTAATTTTTTAAATGGATTTCATTAAGAGGAATATGTAACAGACTGATTCTTAATACCTTTTTGTTTTTTGTTTAATTATTTACCATTAATAAAATAATGTTTTTTATTTTATTTTATTATGTTTTTCAAAGGATTTATTTAACAAATATTTATTTTTAATTTATTATTTAATTTTTGTTTTATTATATATGATTGATGCTTAACTTGTTTTTTACCTATTTATTTCTTTTTTAATTCCTCTAACTTTTGATTGCAGGTACTTTTGAAGAATTTACGTATTTTAAAAAATGTTTTGGGTTTTTTGCAATAGTTGCTTTATCAAACCCAGTCAAGGAAAAAAGAAAAGGCAATTCTTTATGACCAGCTGCTGTCATATACTATGTGATAATTGCACTCAATTAGGTATGTTATTATATTAAACTATAATTTTATGAAAGAAAAAAAAAAAAAAAAACTGTCATGCTAAAGGAATAAATAATTTCTTATCAATGGCCACACAAACATAGACTACCCAAACAATCATCAAATCCTTGAATGGACCCATCACAATTATTTCTTTGCATTAATTTTCTCATTAAAATTTGCCAATAATATATTTATTTTTCAGTTATTTTCTAGAAAGAATGAAACAATATTATATATATATATTGTTCTGTGAAAAACTAGAGATAAAATGCCAGAAAAATAGTATTAAAATGCTAACTTGTTCTGAATATTTATTTCATCTCAGAGAAATAAGCATATCCAAACTTTTTGGCAATATAAGTAGCCAAATGAATATTTGAATAGAATATAAATTTTTTTAAAGGTGGTTAAAACAAAAATATGTAAAATGAAAATTTGAAAAACTACTTTATGAAAGTAATATATGTCGTTTTAACAATTTTCCTTTGTGTTTACCAAAGCTATCAGTAATTGAAATTGTAGTAATTACTATCTATCTATGTCTATCTATCTTAATGGCTCTACAACCCTCAGCGGGTCCTGGCCCCCTCACAGTAATTACAGTGTGGTGGTGTTGATGTGTAGTAATTACAGTGTCTTTTAATATTTTGTTCTTATTAATTCATATGTTTTTGTTTAAACTTGTTTCCATATATCAAAAACATGATTACCCAAGGTAATTGTATTTGAATTCACTATACATTTTTATAATTTTAATTTATTTTTTCAGATGCGAAGACTTGTAAAAAATGTGCATCTCCTTGTATGATCGTTCAATGTAATAATCAGGTAAGTTATTAGTAATAGTAAAGTAAGTAGTTAGTTCTTTATGAAATACTTTAGCTCAAAAACTTCTCCGGGTTGTTTCAGTTTATATCCTGAATACTATATTTGAACAAAAAGTATGCCTAATATCTTGATTATTGTACTTATAGCATCCTTCCATATGAAATATTTTTATTATCTAATTCATTATCATATTGTTGAAATATGCCCTGCACATGGATGGCTTTTTAATTTTGTAGATACTGTAATGTTCCTTACTAAATGATTTTTTTTTCATTTCAACTCCAAGAATTACTGTTCCCAAAACTTATATTTCTACATTTCATGTCCTTTTAAATTAAATTTGTGTACAAGCCGACTGAAATATTGTCCTATTCAATGCATCACATAACTTAAGAAGTGTTTGGTTTGGTAAAAAAAAGTTTTCAGTTGTACATTCACAGTTCTTTTGATTGTTTTTTTCCAATTAATGGGCACTGCCTCAAAAGCTGTATTATTTTTTCTCTCTTGGAGAGGGAGTAGAGTTTTTTAATACTCATTTGATATTATTATTTTATTTATTTTTTTATTATTTCTTAATGATGTTTGCAACTCTATTAAAGCAATGCATTTAATAAATTTGAACATATGGATATAATGACGTGAAAACACTTGTTGAGTAACTACCCAATGGTAGCACTCAAATGATATGTCTATTTTAGAAGATCACGGGGCGATCTTCTTTTCAGACGCCTCAGAGAGTTATCAGGAATTAAAGAGGAAGCAAGGTTAGAAACAAGAGGGTTTGGATGATTCTGAAGTTTATTATGGAAGGATTGGTATCTGGATTGGGTCAAATCTGAAACATAAGAAACTTTAAGGTCATTATGGATGGTTTTATTTGTAACAAAGTAGGTAGCATTGAGGATTTTATGAAGGATTTTGGATTGAAAGGATTGGATATGAGAGGAATTCGATAGTTTAGTAGAGCCCCATAGCTCAACTCCATAAGTCCAAATAGGCCTTATTATATTCATGTATATGAGTCTTTTGTAATTAATTGGAAGTTTAGAGCCTTTGTCTAGTAAGTGCTGAAGAAATCGGAAACGTCAACGTTCTTGTGGTTTCAGTCTGGTATCATTTGATATTAAAAATGCTATAAATCTAATTCTTTTGATTTTCAATATTTTTATGAATCAAATGTTTAAACAATTGATGCATATAAACAAAAATGATATGCCAGTAGAAACATTTGATTATTTACTAGCATTTTCATTGATAATTTTTTTTTTCATTGATAGGTTTTTCATCTTCTGTAAGTTATGTACATATTGCAATATTACAGTTATTGACAGATTTAATCGCTTTGATATCTGCACTAGATATCCCACTGAAAAATAAATTATAAAATTAATAACTCAGTATTTTTAATTTATTAACTGTGTATATAATTAACTACATATATTTTTGCAATTTCTGATCCGTAATCTTATGTTTTGAATAGGTTTTAAAACATCATTAAGTTTAATTTCAGCTTTTTTTTAAAAATTATTATGATTATTTTAGATGCCGGAAGAAATTAAAGAGGTATTTATTGATGTAAGTGATACCATACCTAAATTAATCAAAGTGCTGGATTTCCAAGAGAAAAATCGATCTAAATTAATGGCTTATTACAGGAACAATGTAAGAAATTCATATAATTTATAATTAACTATTTACTAAATAATAAATACAAGGAGAACAATAAAATATATGTATTGAAATCAAAATGTATTCCTAAGAGATATCCTGTTATTCTCTTAATCTAGATTCCTGTAGTATTACAGCTGTAATTTAATAACTATTAACATTATATAGTTATTTTGGAACTCAGTTTTGATGTGTGCTCCTAGTTAAAAGGCTGTTAAATGGTTGGATTAATATTTATGATAAATTTTATAATCACGGATATTTACTAAAATATTTTAATAGGTCGACACCACATTATAAAAATCATATGAATACAGGGTGCCTCATAAGTAGAAGGAAATGTTTATAGGAGTGAAGGAGACCTCAAGAGGTATACAAAAGTTCATATAAACAATGGGCCAATTCTCACCAGAAAAGTAGGAAATCCAAGTTTAGTATTTTTTTAAGTAGTTGCTTTTTGCTTTTTGATTAATAGAAAGCAATAACTGAAGAAATATTTAATTTAAGTAATTAACAATTATTTCAATGTAAACTAGATAATATTTTATTCAAATGAAAATAGAATTTGTCATTGTCAAAACCATTTAAAGAGGACATTTGAAACTTGGCTAGGTTCTCTTTTTAAAAATGTCATAAATTATTGGCAATTTTTTTTATCATTACGCAACTGTACTACAGATACCCCATATTTGAAAAACTTCTTCATTTAATAAGTTCATATTAATTAAATTTAGGTTTATTAGCCAAATTCTTGAGATTCACCTCAAGTTGGGTAAAGAAATTATGCCAACTTCTATCCAATCACCGAAGTGCTTGTGTTTCAGTAAAAACAGGCTACAATTAACTGTTGCAAAGCTTTTATTTATTTATTTTTTTTCATGATCTGGGATTTATTTTAATAAACACAATTGCTTAAATACACTTTTTATTTATAAATAAAAAATAATAGTAATAATGATTTTTTAAATGTTTTTCATGTAAAGTATTTACGAAACTGTGTTTTCCTCCGAGATCTCTGTCATAGGAATTGATATGTATTTGCAAGTGACAAATTTAATGTTACTAGTCCTAAAATTTAAGATTATAACAAAAAAACCCTGCTGATTGCTTCAATTATTTTCATAAAAACGTAAATCTAAGGACTAAAAACATGAAATTTGTCAATTATAAATACTGATCAACTCCTTTGACAGAGTTATTGGAGAAAAATAGAGTTTCATAAAAACATTATATGAAAAGTATTTAACAAATCATTATCTTTATTTTTTTTTATGAATAAAAGGTGTACTTAGGAAATTGTTTTTATTATAATATATTCCAGATCATGAATAACAAGAAATAAAATGGGACAACACCGCACCTAGCAAATTAAAGACAATAAAGAAAGAGGTGCAACCGTGGACCATCTCCAGACGCAGCAGTCGTAGAGAAGTGGTAGTCCTCACGCGGCTGAGGATCGGACATACTAGACTGACACACCTCCACCTCATAACAAAAGATCTTATCCCCAGATGTCAAAAGTGTGACCAGTCACTAACTATAAATAATATTTTGGAAGTGTGCCCTTTTTACACCGCAAGGTTAAAAGATCTCGGAATACTCCAGAATATATCAGCATCCCTGGGAAATCAAGAAGAAATCATTACCAAAGTTATCAAGTTCTTGGATAGTGAAAGACTTAAAAAACATATATGACAAACTTATAACTAATGTTCTTTTGCAGATTTTTTTTTTATTTTAAAAGTTCATTTGTTTATTAATTTCAATTCATTTATTGATTTTACTGCTATTTTTTTAACTATTCTATCTTATTATCTATAAGTGTCTATTATTATCTTTATTTATTTATTTTATTCTATCAATCCTTTTATTTATTTTTTTATCCTTTTTTTTTTATTTTTTATTTTTTGTACCAACCATCCAAACAGTATAGTTGATCGGCTGCTGGTGATGTTTTGTGCCTAGACATCGAAATAAACAAACAAACAAGAAATAAAAGCTTTGCAACAGATAATTGTTATATTCAATTTTGTTGAAAACACAGCTACTTCCAGATGACAAGATGAAAAATAACATTCCTTTACACAGCTTCAGGTGAATCTTAAGAATTTGCCAAATAAACCTCATTCATTCATTCATTCATTCATGTGTGGCACGACATCCCGTTACCGAGACTGGGCCTCCTCCAAGAGCCTCCGCCAGTTGGCTCTGTCTTCTGCTGCAGCTCTCCAGTTCCGTACACCAAGCAGGGTTCTCGCATCATAGGCCACGTTGTCCAACCACCTCGTCCTCGGCCTTCCTACCCGTCTTGCGAGGTGCAGCTCCTCCAGCATTATTTTCTTGGGTATCTCGACGGTACTCATTCTGGCCACATGCCCTGCCCATCTTAGTCTGGCCAGTTTAATATAGGTGACTACGTCGATGTCTGCATAGAGAGAACTGAGCTCCCTATTTTTTCTTTTCCTCCAGACATCACCCTCCTTTACTGGACCATAAATCCTTCTGAGGACTCCTCGCTCAAACACACTCAGCTTCATCTCATCGTTTTTGGTCATCGTCCAAGCCTCTGAGCCATATGTCAAAACAGGCCGAACAAGAGTCTTGTATCTGATCAGCTTGGTCTTCTTTGAGAGGTACCTACTTCTTAAGTGTCGGCCAAGTCCATAGACACATCTATTGGCAGCCGTGATCCTTCTTTGTATTTCTTGAGCCATGTCATTTTTGCTATTAATTTCAGACCCAAGGTATATAAAACTTTTCACTCTCTCAAACTTAAAAGAACCTACCTCAAATGGAGAGTTCAGATCCACCTCACCACCAACTCTCATATACTTAGTTTTCCTCTCGTTGACTTCTAGACCAAGTGGTCTTGCAGCTGCTTCAAGGCCTATAAACGCTTCTCTGAGAGCCTGTTCAGACCTACCTATTATGTCAATATCATCAGCAAAACCAAGAAGCTGTGTCAGGCGATTGAAGATTATATCGTTGGTCTGAATACCGGAGTCTCTTACAGCTTTCTCCTCTGCCAAGTTGAACAATAGACAGGCGAGGGCATCCCCTTGCCTAACCCCACTGCTCACTTTAAACTCTTCGGAGTCGTCAGAACCGACGCGTATTCTACATCTCGAGCTGTCCATGGTCATCTTGATTAGGCGTACGAGCTTCTGAGGGATGCTTAGCTCCTCCAAGGCACAGTATAGTTGCGTTCTATCAACGCTGTCGTATGCTGCTTTAAAGTCTAGGAATAAATGGTGGGTGACTACCTTACGCTCCATAGTCTTTTCTAGGATCATCCTCAGAGAGAATAGTTGATCAGTGGTTGAGCGTCCTCTTCGAAATCCAGCCTGATATTTCCCCAGTTCCTTTTCAGAATACGGGAGAATCCTCTCAAAAAGAATGTTAGAGAGCAGTTTATAAGCACACGAAAGGAGTGAGATTCCTCGATAGTTAGCGCATTCTGTTTGATCTCCTTTCTTATGTATTGGGCAGATAATGGCTGTTGCCCATTCCGTAGGCATAGCTTCCCTCTCCCAGATGGTCAGCATTAAATCATGCAGAGCTTTCTTAAGTTCTTCACCTCCACATTTCAACAGCTCTGACTGGATTCTGTCCGGGCCTGGCGCCTTTCCATTTTTCAATTTCATCAGGGCATTTTCCATTTCCTCCTCATCCGGGGGTTCAATAGAATTCAGGGAGTCTTCCTTCATTACTCCTACTTCTCCAGGCACCGTTCCTCTGTTTAATGCGTCTTTAAAATGTTGTACCCATCTCCTTAGTACGTCATCTTTGTGGCTTAAAAGAGATCCATTCGTGTCTTTGCATGCCGTCACTCTGGGCCTGAAAGCTGCCCTACCCTCGTTTATTCTCTGAAAAAACAGCCGACTTTCATTTTGGCCGCGCAATGCCTCTATATCCTCCATGTTCTTGTTTTCCCAAGCTCTTCTCTTTCCGCGGAATAATCTCTTCTCTTCGCGTCTTTTTCTTCGATATGTTTCTTGGGAGAGCCTTGTGGGACGCTGAACCTTCTTTCTGTAGGCTTCATTTTTCACTTTTACTGCTTGAAGGCACTCAGCATCAAACCATGGAGGCCTTCTAGATTTAGTCTCGTAGCCAAGAGATTCTTCTGCTGCCTGTTTCATTGCGTTGCTGCATCTCTTCCACTGTTCATCGACCATAGAGCTGTCATTAATTACATCTTTATTAAGTTTCGTCTCCACAGCTTGTTGATACGAATATTGGTGGTCTGAGTCCTTAAGTTTAGCTACATCAATCTTCTTCTTTGGTCGTTGGTGGTGGTTTTTAATCAGCGAAATTCGTGATCTGACCTCGGCAATGCTCAAATAGTGATCCGTGTCCATATTTGCACCTCTATAAGATCTTGCATTTATCATGTTGGACTTGTGACGGGCACTAATGAGTACATGGTCTATCTGTGATGTTGTTTGGCCATTTGGAGAGATCCATGTTGCTTTGTGGATATTCTTTCGAGGAAAAAGAGTTGTTCCAACAACCAGTCCGTGCAATGTAGCAAAGTTCACCATCCATAGCCCATTATCATTACTGGTCTTATGCAAGCTGTGGGTTCCTATGGTCGGCATGAGTGCCACCTCCTTACCAACTTGGGCGTTTAAGTCACCAAGAATGACTTTAACATCATTTTTGGGGCAGCTTTCTGTCACTCGTCCAAGTTCTTCATAAAATGTTTCCTTATCCTTCTCAGGTGACACCTCTGTTGGGGCATGGCAGTTAATTAGAGAGAAATTAAAAAATTTTCCTCTAAGCCGAATGTAGCATAACCTTTGGTTAATGGGAGTAAATCGCATCACTAGCTGTCGAGCTCTGCCTCTCACAACAAATCCGGTACCGAAGACGTGATGCTTTTCATGGCAGCTATAGTAGAGTGTATGGTACTTCTTCTCCATAATTCCCTGTCCTATCCATCGGACCTCTTGGATAGCTGCTATGTCGATTCTATATGTGTCCACTTCTGCAAGGAGCGCACGAAGTGCTCCTAGTCTATGTAATGATAAAATGTTCCAAAATCCAATTCTTAGGTCATTTAGGCGTTTCCTGGGTCTGTTACCGTAATTCAGTCCGGCTTCTTCTCTTTGAGGTTTCGTAATAAGGTACTTTAGGGGGGGTGGGTTATCAGCCCACTGCCCCCTAGTCAGGTAGAGGAGCTGCCTCCTCCGAGCATCCTGACTAGCTCCCCCATCCGGGGCGGCTACCTAGGGAAGGTGACCCTAGGGTGTGTACTGTAGGTGACCTTTGTCTGTAGTGTTTAGGTGTTGTTGTGTGCTGTATAAAGTGTACTTGGTGTGTGTGTTCGTGTAAGTGTTCCCCCAACCTGGAGGGCCAGTGGCTGGTTGCGGTACAATGACCGGGCGATGGGACCGCCACTTCCCTACGCCTATAAAATAAACCTCAATTTAATTAATATGAAATGAAGCTTATTAAACGAAGAAATTTTTCTAAAAGTGGGGTATCTTTAGTACAGTTGGAAAATGATAAACAAAAAAAAAAAATCATTTATGTTTTTTTTTAAACTGAATTAAGCCAAGTTTTGTCGCTCAAAAGTCCTCGTTAAATGGTCTTAATAATGACAAGCTCTATTTCCATTTGAAGAAGATTGTATCTAGTTTACAGTAAAAAATTGTCAATTTCTTAAATTAAATATTTCTTTAGTTATCGCATCCTGTTCATAAAAAGCATGACTTACTTCACAAAACACTAAACTTGGATTTTCTGCTGAGAATTAGCCCATTGTTCATACAAACTTTATGGTAGGCCTTAAGATGTGTTTTTATTTTTATTTCTTATATAAAAATTTCCCTCTGCTTACTGGACACCCTGTATATTTTTGAATTTTGTTCTATTATTTAGCAATTTTTCTGATATTTGACCCGTATTAATGACCTATTATATTAGTTCAAGCACCTGTCGTTATTTTTTAATATATTTATTTTTTTTATAAAAATGATATAAGTCACCATTTAGAGTTTTTAAAATACCCTCATTGTGATTGTTTATGTTTTAAAAAATAATAAATCATTTGTTTTATTGTTTTTTGCCAGCAGTTACTATTTTTTAATTTTTTTGTAGGTTGAAAAGTATAAAACTGCAAAGGTATATGTTTCTGAGCTAGAACAGAAGCTTCATACTGCAAAGCAAAAATATGAAGCCTGCAAAGTTGCTCTAAATAAACAACAGAGCAATATTGAAGTGCTGATCAAGTAAGTTTGCAGTAATTTCAGTGGATTTGAATTGGCTTTGGGTAGAGTGTAGATTTTAAAAATGTCGAATTATTATAAGTATTCCAACAGAAAAAATAATTATAATTCAAAAAAGTGATTTTTAAAATTCTTTTTTCAAATATTGACTAACTTCAGTTAAACTTTTTTGTCATGAGGTATAATTAATTTTATGAAATTTCATGAAATTATTGTTATAGCAAATTATTATTATTATATATGTAAAATGTTGTTTTAAATTTATTTAAGAAAATATCAGTGGTATAAAGAAAAATGTGGAAATCTTGAAGCCTCATCTAGAACACCATCTTCATTAAACTTAAATACTTCTAGAAATATTGCAAACCAACATTTTGTAAGTTGAAATGGCTTATTATGTTTGTTATATAAATAAAAAGTGACTTCAACACATTTTTTTTTTTTTTTTTTCTAGACACCCACAAGTGCAAAACAATCAGTTTTTTCAATGAGTGCGCCTCGTACTCCTTCAAATAATCACAGGTATTTTGATTTATTTACATAATTTAACCTGCGAATATAATTTTTTTTAGTTCCTTTTAGATTAACATAGATTTTTGGAAGAATTTTTTTTATATTAATTTACAATTACTAGAATTAGTATTAATGCATATTTTAATATTATGTATTTGTTTACAATTATTTTTTTTTTCTCATTTTGAGATTATTAAGATGAAAACTCATTTCATTGAGTTGCAGAGTTATGAGTTGAATTACAAATATTCTGGATAATTATGTATTTTTATTAGTATTCCCTTTATTTTTTAGCTTTCACTTCTCTTTTTTTTTTTTTTTTCATCATTGATAAATAATTTTTCCAAGTTTCATTTTTTAATCAAATTGTTGCTTTAACTATTTAGTTTTTTACTAAACCATGGTAAAATCTCACTCCACATTAAATAAATTTACTGCTTTTATTAGGAAATTTTGAATTTCTTTTCAGAATGTGTTCATATTTCAGTTTGTGTTTAGTTCATTTAATTTATCTAGGTGTAACTAATTTTTTCTACTGCTTATTTTTTCATTTTACTTATACTTCTTTTGACAGTACATTTTAAGGGAAAGAAAATCCGTAGTGACAAGTTTTAGACCTGAGAAACATTAAGACCAAGCTGATGGCTCTAAAGTAAAAAAAAATAATATTAAATATAAAACCTTGAGTTTTATTTAGATTATTATTATTATTTTTTTTTTTTTTGATGATCCAAATTTAGCATGGTAATTGCATTTTATTTTAATATATTTTTGGAAGTTTCTGTACATTCTAAATATGGTTTCTCAAAATCATCTGGAATAAAGCTGATTTTAAGTGACTAGTCTTACAGTTTAGTTAATACTAATTTTAAATATTTATTAATACTTAGTTATTAATTCACTTTGACCGATTTGAAACAATTTTAGAATTTCATTTTTCAAATTTAATATTTATTGTTTTGTCAAGGCAACAAAGCAATCTTAAAGAAGTATTGATTTTTGTTTGAATTTGATTAGAAGGATAAATTATTTTTTTTATCTTTTGTGTTTAGGCCCATTCATACCAATCGCTTCTTAACTCCTGAATCAATAGTTTCGAGCTATAGGTCATCAAATAGTTCTGGTAGCTTAACTGGGTATGTATTGGATAATGAAAAAAAAATATTAATACTGTGCCTTGGTTCTTCAAGGGCTAATGTGTACATTATATATTTATTATTAACAACTAAAATTCTGTTAAAAGGCTAAACTTCTCTTTCTAGCTCAAGCAAAGCAACATTAGCTGGTTTTACACCTCCTTCTGATAGCTTTCAACTCCTTTCATTATTCAATAAAAACAAAATGTAATTAAACATTTATCTGTTTATTTAAAATAAGTGTTATATTGTGTTTTCTTGTATTTGTATTTTCAGGAAATTGTATATTGGATAGTATTTTTAAAAATTAAGTCTTCTTACAAATAAAGTGAAATAATTAAGTTAGTATTATAATATAAGATGAAATATTTATTGTCATCAATATGTATTATAGTTTGTAATTGTTTATAGTTTTGATTCAAGTTTACTTTTTATTATTGAATAACATTTTTGGGTAGATTCTTTTGTAACTTCATATCCTTATTTCCCAGATTTTTCTTTAAATTTTATAATAAATGCTAATCTATCCCCAATTGTGGGCTAGCTGGACTTCCTTAACTTGATTCTTTTATCAGTTTATAATAATCATTGAAAATAGATTAAAGTATAAAGTAAAATTGGTTTAAAGCATAAGTAACAACAAAGTTTTATCTACAGATGGATTAAACTTAATTGTTTGAATTCTTATATAAGTAGTCTCCTACCATCAATATCATTTTGCTTTCAGCTGAAAAGATAAAAGTATTATTTCTGGTTGCCCGTATGAAAGGGGGAACTGGAACGATTGGAGCTAATACGTTATTTTAACATTCCATAACAACTATAATCATCAGTTCAGGGTAAAAAGTTAAAAAAAAAATGGCGTAACACCCACCTAGGTCTAAAGGGATGCCAAAATCTACTGTTTGTAAATACCAGATCTATTACAGAATTTATAAACTCTACTATTTGTTAACATCAGATTTATCTAATGGCATCTCCTCTCTCCCCCGAAAAAAAAGAAATAAAACATTAATTTATTAACATCTTGACCAAGCATAGCTAAAGAGAATAAATACAATTTTTGTGGTTGTACTGATATCTTCTTGGTCTTTAGTTTTATGGTATTTGCTAGTAAACGTAATTTTCAATGAATTTGGTATCCTTCTTTAATGGTATTTTATATTGTTGTCATTAATATATTAACATTAAATTAAATTGTTTTTATAAAATGTTGTCTAGCACTAATGAACTCGATTTATATTTTTATGTCATTTTAAGTTAATATGCTTTTAATAACTTTCTATAGATGTTTGTTGATGATTATAAAATATTCAACAAAAAGTTTATTCGGTTATTCTCAAACAGAGGTACCTGGGTAACAAAATTTAATTTTAATATTAAAGGACAAAATTGTCAATTGTATGAAGTCATAAATTTATATTTATTTATTGAAGAATTAAAATCAATCAAATTTCTTTCCAAAAATTGTATTTACTTTTTATATAAATGGATAAATGGATGAACAATAAATGGATATAGATTTTATTATATCACAACTTTAAGTAGCTAAAGATTAGACATTTTACAAACTATGGGACAAACAAATAAATAAATGGTTATTTTAGTGTGCTATAATTTTTTGTCCTGTTTTTGATATTTCTCATCTGTTGTCGGTATCAAAAGAAATAAAATAAATAGTTTGGTCTGTCAATAATGCCGTTATTATTTTAGTTAGATAATTGTGTTTCCCACAGTTTGTGAAATGTCTAAGCCCGCCATAAGATTATTTTTAGTCCGTAAAAATTGATACAATTTTTTTTTTTTCCAACATTAATACCGCAACAAAATAGGAATACTTTGAGGACTGCAGCACAAGTTTCCATACTGAAAAGTCGGGGATTTTCCAGACAATAAATTTTTTTTAGAAAATTCCCACGCATCTAAATTCTTAACGCATCGGTAAGATCAAAGCGGACTGAGTTGGGAAAACCTATTGATCATTATTTATTTAATTATTTTAACTAGAAGACGACGCTTGCGTTATCGCAGTAAATGGCAATTCAATTGCCAATCAATTAAATTAGAAATTTTTGAACAACATATCGAATGAATAGTTTTCAGAAAAGTTAAGATAAATAAAAGCATACAAAACTTTAAATTATTCAGGCATTATCTATATTTACTTATTGATACCTAACGACAATCGCATTAGTTCTTTTTATATTACGTCAGGTAAGCTTTCGGTTTCCAACAAATAGCCTATTAAACCATTTAAATATAAAGTTAATCAATACAACTAATTGAAATGAAACGAAAACTGAATTCGTTTTCAATAAAATCAGACAGTCTTAGTAGTAAATTAATTAATCTTCAATTAATCTTAATTTATTTATTAATTGCATCATTTTACAATAAACAGAAGTCCTTAAATACAAATTAGGAAAACGATCAAAATGAGAGATTAATAAATAAAAAGCAGTATTTAAATGAATAACAAATTTTGTACTTTTATTCCTATAAAATTTATATTTTGAGATAATTGATTTTTATATTTAATACATAACAGCCCAGTAACCTAATCATGGAAAGGGATGCTTAAGTTGCATTAAGTGGTGTGATTATTATTTCGTTTATTTATTTATTTTTTTTTTTTTTATGGAATATGACTGAGATGCAAAATCCAAGTTTTCTACCTCGACAGCCCCTCGGATCACTTTTCAATGTTCTAAAAAGTGCTAAATTACTATTTTCTTTTTTCTTTCATTGTGACCCGTTAACGGGCACTTTATAGACAAAAATATGGTGTGTCTTTTCCTACCTATTTACTACTTAGTAAATAGGTACTTTCCCACCTATTTCAGAAAAGTTTTTATATCTTTAAATATTTAAAGATGCCCATAAGGTATATGCCTATCACGAAAAAAAAAAAGAAGAAAGAAATAGAATTAGATTTATTTTCCTTAAAATTGATCAAAGAAAAGATTTGAGTACGAATTCTTTGATAAACTAAAGCAGTGTAAACCGGCTTGTGGAAGATCGGCGTAAAAAATTTAAAGCATTCTAATATTGCGAATCAAAAACTTTTTGCCTCAGCCCAATTTTGTCAGACAATAATTTCTGTAAAAATAAACGAAATAATGAAACTCATAATCTTACATACGTAATCGAAAAGTTGTAACGTAAATAGTTTCTTTTCGGACTTGGAACGTAAACAGCACATTGGAAATTTTTTAGTCTATTTTTTCGAGTATATTATTCTTAACTTCCATTATTTCTCTAATAATCTCGTTTCTGATTCTTTGCGTCCTTGTGACTCTAGCCGACCTCATTCAAAAATCCGTCTCCACAACAAGGAATCTTTTGCGCTGTGATTCATTTAAAGTTTATTATAAAAAATGGAGTGCATTACACAATTTATGTCCGCCAACCTGCTTTAAGTAAAAACTAATTTTAGTTATCCTTTTATCACCAGTTTACTAACATTCTTTTTGTTTTGAGTTCATATTTGGTATTAACAAACCGTTATGAAATGAAAAAAAAAACTGGTGCAGTGCGCGTATCACACAACTTCACTTACCACTCGTTTTTTCAGACAATAGGTCTTTTCAGACAAAGGGAAGTGAAAGTAAAAGAATTATAGACGGTACCAAATATTTAAAACAAATTATTACCATTTATTTTTCATAGCCCTCTAAAGTATTATATTTATGTTTTTGTTTTTTTGTCACTAACTATTTCTTTTACGACTGTATATTTTAATTATTTATTTGAATATAATAAATAATTAAATGACATGAAATATTTTTATTCCGGTAAGATTATCACTACTAATCAAGGCCGCTATATTTATTCATATTTTATTGTAGGTATTTTTTTTTCATTGTTATACATACACATTTAACATTTATTCCTTTAGTTGATTATAAAATTCGTTTAACCACTTTTTATAGCAGATTACAATGTGAATTGGCAAATTATTTCAAACTAAAAAAATTAAAACTACTTTAGACAAAGAAATTTTAAAATGACGCATTTAAGCTCTGTTAGTGAACATCAATGAGAATAATATTAAAAATATATATTAAAAACTGCTTAATTTTACACCAATATAATGAATACAATCAAAATCACCAGGCCCGTTTAAAAGAAACTCATAAAAATTAGTAAAATCTATGATGAAAAGTGGCATTTCCAATTAGCCAATTTTGACGAAAAATTTGTTTTAAAGTCCCCGACATATATCCATCTTAAATACGTTATATCAATTTCGTACGACTTTTTGTTTTAGGGCTATGCTATTCAGAAACGCACATAAACAGACAATTTTACGGGACTTAGATAGTTAGAATAAGAGAACCCCAAACGTGAATTACCGTTGAAAACTTAAATTCGAAAATGCTCATAATCAGTTCTTTCCAATACTATATATTGCATATATGTAACTGAGGTAATTGTAATTAAAGTAGGAAGTTTGGTTAAAAGATTTTTTTATCAACTTTCAAACTCGAGGATTGAATCAAAAACTAGTTTTCACCTACATACTAACTCAGGGCAGAATATGGAGTTAAGGGATCATGAACTATGTCTTTCCATTGAAAACTCCAATTCTGAATTTTTAACGATCACTATACATATTTCATATATGAATAAGTTAAGGTTAAAAAACTTAGACGACGAATGAACGCTGTCCCATCAGTGTTGCCATGCGCTGTGTGACAAATCCTCCTACTCGAGCCTTGTACATCCTCGTACGCTTGCTCATTCATAACTCGTACTATTGTAAGCCCAGTGTTATTGTTTTGTTTTTTTATAGTAAAATTATATCAGAGCTTTTTATTTATACCTCTATTCATATATTTTAAAGCCTTTTTTTACATTAGTTTTTTTTTAAGTTAATGGGTAAAGAAGTAAAATTAGCTTAATAAAATGTACAAAAATGTTTATATATTTTTAGAAACTACCAACGCTATTATCATTTATAGAAATTATAACAACCAAAGCTATTATATAAAAATTAAAATAACAAAATAAACTTCTTAAAGCACTCTTCATTAGTATCCATTAGTAGATCTAAGATTTAATTTGGGTACATTATGAATAATATTTAATTTTTCAATTAATTACTTTACTCGATTAAAAATCGAAATTTTTTTTTTAAATTACGGTGACAATTTAAAAAAAGTTAATTTATCTAGAATATATTTAAAATTGCAATTTTATGAAGGAAAT